GTGGCACATACATGAAGGCCGACACGAAAGTGCTGACATGAGTTTAGTTTATGACTAATGCACCAAATCAAATCAATTGGCCAGAGTGGGTCAGAGATAAGAAACTGGGCGAGATAGAAAAAGAAAAACTGTGACCCTTCATCCATCTTTGTCTGGCTCAGGTCGCCCTGAATGTTTGGTGCTCACCAATGGTGCAATGTATTAACCTCACCACTGTTGACAAAGCAGGCAGATGCAGCCAACGGAGTGTCCGTAGAGCTTTGGCTATTAGGACATAATACCACACCCACCTCCTGCCTTCCGCTTCGGAGACCAACAGTGACCTGAATCCACAGCAAAAGACATAATGAACATTGTACTGAGCCTTCCCCCTTTTTCAAAGTGTCAACACCCCAAACTAAACTTCTGCAAAGATGAGTGATGGGATCTACTGGCCCACACTGAATGAGCTTTGAACCAAACCCAGAGGTTATAGAAAAAGACCACAATGGCTAATTTCATAGTTGGGTCACCCCATGAACTTAAGTGGAACCCACATTTTTCTGCAATAGGGATTTTATTCATTACTTTAACTCAATAGCATATCTTATCACTTGTGACTGTGTTATCACTAACTGAAATATGTAATATATATAACTTTTTTTTTTTACTGCAATCAAACAATCAAGATATTTAATTGTGATGAATCGCATTTTTGTCATAGGTAACTAAGTTAAATAAATTTGTAAAATGAAATTGCATATGCATTATCTTAGTTTTGTTCAATAGGACATTTGCATCATTCAGCCACGTCATGCTTCAGCAGAAGATGCTTCAGCAGAAGATGCACACACAGCAACACTTGTACCCGGTAAGGACCTTATAATGCTAGTTGAGCTGTATTTCAGCTAACGTGTTTTTGTTTTCATGGATTGTTGCGTAAGTGCTCTTGAGAGAGGCGCCTTTCGCATGGGTTACTTTTTCTTTAATGGTGCCGTCTTGGCACTGAAACATTTTATATGTTTGAGGTTTGAAAAAGAAGCCTTCCTAAGGACATACAGTATCTACTTATGTTGCACATTTTTTTGGACAAAACCACAACCACAAAAAGCACTAAGTGAGGCATGTTAGGGAGTGATTGTGCATGAGCCCAGGGTTAGGCTGCACGGTCAAAATGTTATATACCATTAGCAAACAAAACAAAAGATAAATAAATAAATAATAGTTTTTATTTAAAAATATATATTATTATTGTCAAGGCCAAAAGAGACATTGCAAAGAATTTGTTTGTGTTTCAAAATTCTACAACAAAATAAAGCGATAAACAGTGATTCTTTTAATCAGTGCGTCTTGCACCCAAGCACGGCTCCATTCCGTTTATGTGGTGTCATTATACCAGTCCTCGTTTGACATGTTTCATTTTTAAACCTTCTTAACCTTCTTTATTGTGTTATAATCAATCAATCAAACATTTTAGATCTGGCACCTAGATCCGGGCTTTAGGTGTCATCTGACCGCGGCATTCGCACCAGAGCTCGATTCCTGGAATTGTGCTCTGCCGCGGTTAAAGACTGCGGCCAGGGCCCGCTTCCCACCGCAGATGAGGGGGGTCAGTGTGGCGGGTGGTGGGGAGTGGGGGATAAGGTGTGGTGGGGACGTGATATTGTGCGTCACATTATGTCTTCCTGTGACACCCATTTTCACACACGTCTCTCCTGCACTTTTGTATTCTCAGCTTGTGTCAAACCTTTCATATAAGCCCCGGACCGTGGTCGAGGGGCGCTGGGTGAGTGTGTCGCTCCAGTTAGAGACGGGAATGAGCGGTGTGTATGGAGCAGTGGGGGCGGGTCCAGGCTCAAAAGTGGCCAAAATGACGTGCGCTGACATGCTTGCAATACCACCCCAGGCCAATGAGGGTGGACCCGGAATAAGAATTAGCCAATGCTAACATATAGCATTGGCAGACCTCTCGAAAACGTCTTTACAGGATGGTCCAAAAGTTGGCTCTTGGCCTCCGTTCCACATGTGTGTCAATGCTGTGAATTTTTGAAGTCTCTCGTTCAAATGAATGGAGCTTGCGCCGGCTGACCACTGCGCAGATGCGTTTTTTCAAAATTTTCTTGTGGGCGGGACCACTTGCAGCCATTTTGGATAGCTCCAGTAGAGCACATTTTTTGGCCCATTAGTTAGAACGGCGGAGATAAGCGTGACTACATCCGTTAATATTTACAGTCTATGGTTTGGAGCGATGGACCGAGTGTGTGAGGAGCAGCGAGCGACTCCTGTGTGTGAGCCTGTGTGACAGGCACACACACAGGCTCACAAAGCGGTTTACAATTGTTTATTTTTTTATTTTTTTGGGCACTTGCCCCCTCATTCCACACAGAGATGGGAGCAGGGTCGCCGAACAGGAGGAGCATGCCAGACCTATTGTACATATTTTTAGTGGTAGGGGAAACCGGAGTACCCGGAGGAAACCTACGCAGACACAGGGAGAACATGCAAACTCCACTCAGTAAGCGAACCCTCGAACCCAGGACCTTCTTGCTGAGAGGTGAGAGTGCTATCCACTCAGCCACCGTGCCGTCTACATCAAAAACATATTATAAAAGCTTTAGCAAATAGCGCATGTCCTGCTTCAGTGCTCACACGCGAGTGCAGTGGATTTTGGGCATAAAAAGCGTATGTTGTCGTAAAAGAGTGTGGAGGCAATGACAGAAATCGTTATTTGATGGGAAAGAAGTCCGCCTGATCCCCTTATCATCCACAATTAACATGTGTTGCTTAAGCTTATGTATTCAGTGATTATTCAATGGTAAACTAAAAATCCATGTGAAAAAAATTACTTCTCACTGTTCTCAGGGTCAAATATTTATCCATCCATCCATCCATTTTCTACCCCTTAATCCATTTCTGGGTCAGGGGGGTGGTAGTCAGAGATGCCACTCAAGTCACATAGCACCAGCCCCTCACTGATCCTCTGCAGGTGGTGAGTCCACAGGAGGATGGCTGCTCTGTCAATGTGAGCATAGCCGTGATCTCTCAGCGGGGGCTTTGGGCAAAGTCGGGTTAAGTGTCTTGCCCAAGGACACAATGACAGCAGACATCAGTGGGAGTTGGTGGAGAAGGTGTCAAGGTGGGAATTGAACCCACAACCTTCAGGCCTACCAACTGAGCTACTGTCAAATATTTATATGCAATTAATTAATCACAAAGCCTCAAATTAATTAGATTTTTTTTTATTGAGTCCCAGCCCTAATATATATATATATATATATATATATATAATCGTATCGTTTGACAGCCCTAATATATATATATATATATATATATATACATTTTTTTTTGTTGATTAATTGCATAGTAATGGTGAGTTAACTCATGATTAATCGCATTTTTAACATTCTATTTCAAATCCACTCCAATTGAAGTTAAATGAGATTTTCAAATGTAATGACACATTGTTATTCATACCAAATGTACTTAAATCTGTTTGACTTGCTCACAACCTTCTACTTTTGGGTACAACCAACAAGAGCTGTTAATGAAAGGGAAAATGTAGGTACCCCAGCTTTAATTTTGCGAGTTTGGTTGCATTTCAGCGTGTCTCCTCCTCTCCTCCGTGTGTCACACATCAGAGAATGGCCCCTGTGCGTGTATATATGCGTGTATTATATGACCACGTTACCGCTGTCACCATCACACACGCACGTGTCCACAGCATTCTGAGTGATATTATTTTAAATGGGCGGGTCATTCGGACATACGTTAATTATTTTTTTACGCGTTAATGAAAACGGTAATTAAAGTGAATTAACGAGATCATTTTGACAGCCCTAATATATATATATATATATATATATATATATATATATATATATATATATAAAACGTTGTGCACTATTGACAATATACAGCATTCAATATTTAAACTTTGTAGGACAAATGATGTCCTTAAGCCTCCTGTCAGCTGGGCACATTTGCCTGGAGAAAAACTCCACAGGGCATGAGTGCTCATTGTGCTGATTTGGAGGGGGTCCTTCAGGTAAGTGTGCTTGTTTTGGGGGGAGGGACACCTGTATGAATACAGTCAATGCTTCAAATACCTTTAGTTTACTCAGAGCTAAGAAGGGGAGATCAGCAATCCTTTTAGTCTTGGCTGCAGTGCAGAACTCATGCGGTTGGCATCCAGCAGAGTTTTTCTTAGGCTGAGCAAACATTAGTAATTATCTGGTCAGTGTGAATCTTGAACAATTAGCAAAATACAGAAGTTAAATCCGGACATGTCAGCAGGACTTTGAATATATTTACAGAAAAAAATAAAATACATGGATATTCATAAGACTTCTAAAGCCACTGTTATATTAAAACTGAGACAAACTGCATATGGTTGAAAGAAGCCAGTGTTTTTTTTCTTGATTATGGTGATCTAAAGAGCCACTTCATTTGGAATGGCTGGACTGACATTAAGGCCAATAGGATGACCAACATGTCTCTTTGTGAACTCTGATACAAAGAAGATTTTTTCCACAAACCCAGTAAAATATAGAAGATCATTTGTTCAAAATTTCCCTTCTAACAAATATGTATAAAAGGTTTTCCACAGTGTGCCAGTTAAAATTCAACTCAAAATTATCAAGTGTGTGCCCTTTTGCTCAAGATAACTGCCTGACTATTCTCCCATTCTACATCCCACATTTGATAGTTAAAATTAAAACCGTCCCTGTTTTCATATGTATATTTAAAATACATTTTCAAGTTAGATGGGCAAATATTCTTTAAACACATTCATCAAAGCTATATCTTCTATAGGAAGTCAAAGCTGCACTTTTAAACTTAACACATTATAAATGTTACGGCTTGAGACAAAAAGGCATCTGTGCTGAAATATCAAAAGAACCATTTTGTTGGGTTCTGGAGGGGCAGAGACCAAAACTGGTCAGGAGCTATTGCTGTGGTCAGCGTGGAGAATGTGTTGTGCTCCATCATTTTGATAGCTGTGTCCAATTGCTTTATGCCAGAGCAGCAGGTAGCCCTTGCTGCCGGGGTCGTAGCTGGGATGGCCTCACCCCATTGGCCCATGGGCTCCGGCCAAGGTTCACGGGTCAGGGCCTGGCCGGACGCAGGCCTGTCTCCTGGCCAATGGGTTGAGGTGGTCAACGGTGAAAAACAGTCGTGCTCAAATAAGTGATTTATAGATGCAGCAGATTGAGAAAATGCTAAAAAGCTGTACATAAAAGGTTTTTGTTTTGTCAAGACACAATTTTGGACAAGCAACATGCAATTTAAATCCATGTATGCATCCAATGGAAGCAAGTTACCTGCTGTAAAAGTTTTTGTTACCAAATGGGGATAGGCTTGATCTACAGTATCATATTTTTATTGTTTGTCCGTTGGCAACTTCAGCACCATCAATAATGGATGTTTAGAAACAAAAAATATGTTGTTGAGCCCTGATTGCGCAACTAGTCATTTTGGTTTGTCATTGTGGATAAGTGCCCTTCATAACTCCTTTAGGTGGAGGAGCTTACATCAATAATGATGAGTACATTAATTAATTCATTTTCATATTACAACTTTTTATTACCTGAAATAAACCACTAAATATTTGACATTGAGGTAATACAGGTTATAATACAGGTGGACAGGTTGTCTCCATTGGCCTGCAGAGCTGGGTCTCATGGCCATGAAACCCCTCTGCCCTTTCAACTAATTGTTTGTGGGTTTCGTTTGAATTTATTGACAGTCTAGGTGATATAGTGCTTCTTTTGTGTTCTTGTCCCATTGTAAGGATGGTTAACTATGGCGTCCGCTTTTTTGCTCTTGTGTATGACGCCTGACCGGGGGTCCAAGAACACTGTGATGCCCAGCGGGAGTGCCCTTTCCGTGGGCTGGCAAGAGACCTTTACAGGTGCCTAAGCCCTTCTCTTAGCAACATCCTGCTGCTCTAAATTTGTTGCCCTCCTGTGGGTGTCTTTGGTGATGTCAACCAAGGGGCCCCTGATGAGAGATTTGTTGATATGATAACTTGATTAGGGCTCCAGGATGGATGACATGGTGGCAGAGATCAAGTCAGCCGCTCCCAGGGAGGTGCCGGTCCTGTCTTTAACCTCTCCTCGGGAGACCAGGACACTGTGAGGGTGGCATGTGGCTCCCACAAGCACACAAGCCACTTTAATCACTTCACAGGGTGATCATCATTTCTGTCTTAGGAGTCATCCTGCTTAAGAGTTGAGAATAAGAAATGGAATAATACTTTAGACAATTCACTAATTAAGAGCACAGAAGAAAGGTCCTTATTATGTGGACTTTATTCAGGATTTATCAGGAAGGTCTAGCTCATTTCTTTTCTAATTATTTCCTTAATTGGCCGAGTACCATTTCCTAATTAACTCCAAAGTTACTTGAGGACTAGTTTAATTTGGCATGATACATCAGATTACAGCTTAAGATAGATCTTAAGAATAAAGTTATGGAGTGGGCCATTTGGTAATTAATTTTAAACCTCAAAGCAATGTTATTGTTATGGCTGAGGATGGGATATGAAGTAAATCCCAGGTAGTCAAGCTGGCATTAGTGCATCAATCCCTGAAGACTCAATACAGTTCTCATGACTCCTGGAATAAGATGAGTACTCTGTAGGAGTGCACACGGTCTAAACTCTTTCTATAAGGTGTAGAATTGGAGTGGATTTAAATCAAAAGAGCAGTTATCCCTCTTTGGGGCAAGTAAAAGCTGGGGAATATCCGTTCAGGTGTAAAAGGGTCAGCCAGTAACCACCAGAGAGTTAATTAAAGATAAAGGAGAAGTTAATAACTGCCTCTCTGTGCTGCATATTCAAACTTTTGGCCTGAGGCTTCTACGCCTTATGGTTACGACATGGAGCAAACATGGAGCCTGCAGTCAGAAGGCCGCAAAGACCGGACTGTAGTATGATTACTTCTCTGATTTATTATATTATATAAGTCCTTGAAGCAGAGACTATATAATAAAGCTTTTCTTACAGGCTCAAGGTTCAATGATTAACAAGCAGACACACAAATACATTATTATTGCTAAGCCTTTATATTAATAGTTAGGCTACATGTTCATTACATTATAAATATGTTAGGCCCTTGTTATTGAAATGCCTCACCGATATTATTTTTCAGATTTTGGCCTATGTATTTTTATGGAAATGTAGCACAGCTGGCAAAAATACAGCAGTATTTCGATGGGTTAGCATATATGCTAATTTCTACAATAATGCTAATGCAATCTTGAGGGGCAGTTATGCAAGTGTAGTTGTTTCCTAATGGTGTTTTGGTGTTATTGGCATGTAGTAGAGATGTTCTTAGTTGACAAAATAGTCCTCTTTTTTGATAGTTCATTAGGTTTGGAGGCTAACAATCAATGTTTGCTTGAGCCAATTGACAGACCAAACCAGACCTGGAACTGAGACTCCCACACTGTGCCAATGTAACCGAAAACAGAGCACCGCACACGAGTTTTCCTACCGGAAGTAGCATATGCTAACGTGCAGGTAGTCTATTAAATTCCACTGACTAAACAGTCTCATGATATAAAAATAAAACTTAACATCGTTAGCGCTGATGAGCAGCTGTCCTGTAGTCACTTTCACCCACGTCCCAGCGATCCAAGATGGAGCCCTATTCAAATGAATGGCTTGTGCTCAGTGGCGCATGTGCCACCATGGGGACCAAAAGATTAGCGGAACTAGCCCATATTTGGGCATAGCCTGGTCCTCTCGGGTTCTGCGCAGTGGATGAGCTCCCATGATGCGCCAAATACGCGTGTGTGGCTATCATGCACGTGCACAGAGGGGCTCGGCCGCGCTCTGACCAATCAGAACTGATGATCAGAGCAGAGGTAGAGCGGTAGTTAGAGCGGGAAGGAAACAAGCAGAGTTAATGGCACTAAAGTGTGGATTTAAGAAGAAAAAAAGTTCAGGATGACAAGGGACACTAAAATCCCCGCAAAATCCGACCTTTGTGAAAGCTGTAGGTTCTCTGTCAGCTGAGGTTGAGCTGTTTCAGTTTACACTGAGTTCTATGGGGAATATTTCTGGGTAGCCCGCATGAATTTAGTCTGGTTTAGTCTGCAGTACCACAAGAATCCCGCGAGCACACGGGTCCTTCAGCTCCAAGCTAGTAATACCCTATCCAGATATTATAATCCATGCCTTCACCTCCCTCAGACACAAGGGTCTAGCACATGTGGATCATATTAGACAGAGCTTCTCAGTCAGCAGAGGCCGGGTGACATGAGATCTACAGCTGGAGAGACTGATACACACAACCCCAGTCACAGGTGGGAATACCTTCACACAGACCAACAACAAGAGCGTTTATTATCGAGAGACCGTGTGTTTTCCCCCAAGAGGAACCATAGACAGGGGAAACCATTCAGTGCAGCCCTCCAGGTTAAAACCAAGTAGTGAAGGGTCTGACCTTGCACAACCCACATCAAAGAGAGTACATGCGCAAACCAGAGCATGCAGAACATTCAGGTAAAAGTAGAGACGTGAACAACTCCCAGTTTACCCATGGACGAGAGGAGCTGGAGAATGTCTCCCCAAGCAAGCCGGTCACCCTTGAGCAGTTACAGGAAGTACTTGCACTATCCCTACCATCTGGCTATATCGACAGAAAACATTCGAGGAATACAGTCATTAAAACGCAAAGCCACTTCAAAGTCAAAATTAGTGATGTCAAAAAATAAGAAGTTAATCAATCCAAAACAGTACCAAAACTAGACACTCATTTGAAAAAGTATCAATGCTGAAAAGAGATCACAAATAGGACAAAATGTGATCTCACACCTAGTATAACCCTTGTGGTACCATTAAAAATTATAGTATTATTTATGTAAAAAAAAAAAAAAAGACAACACTAGTCCAAAGACAAACTAAGGGTTTTAAACTAGAACTAGACAAAATAAAAGCTTAGCTGGGACATAGAAGCTAATACAAAATAAGGAAAAGGTAACACTGAAAAGCACAGGCGCACAAACTTTCAAATCACCTTGTTAGAGGGCAAGATTAATGAGCAGAAATAGACAAAAAAACAGATGCACACAAGAGGGAATTACTACTTATTTCATACTGCTTGATACTACAAGTTTGGAACTATTAATGCTGTTTATTCAATAAATCAATCAATCACATTTTATTTATAAAGCGCTTTTCAAACAGAAGATGCAACAAAAAGTGCTTTACAGTATGGTTAAAACAATCCCGCCCATGACCCCCCCTCCCGACCACCCGACAGACCCACCCCAAACCACATATATTTTTAAGAACGCACGCACACGGAGACGAACACACACAAACGCACAGACATGCTCACACACACATAAACACACGCTCTCACGCACGCTCTCACGCACGCTCCCACACACACACACACACACACACACACACACACACACACACACACACACACACACGCACACACACCAGTAGTAAAACAGTAAAACCATGAAGAGAGAGACTTGGCAAGGTGCAGATGTAATCAGCTGAAGAAGTGCCATCCAAGGAG